GGGTTTTCACCCGGAAACTGTTCTCTCAAGCTTCGTCCAGTATTTCTTATACTCAGAGATGTCAGCTGGCGAACATGAAGTTTTTGTGGGTTAGAAGACTCGAAGCTGGCCTTTGCTTCCTTTTTCGCATCAACTCTAGCTCTAGTCTTCCGCACATTGACACTCTCACTCCGAGAGATCGGTCCTATGCCACGCGCAACTCCTGCATGGTGATTCCGCCGCCTCTTTGTACTACATCTAAGCGCTCCCTCTTCTTTGCTTCCAAATGTGCGTTCCTTTGGAATAATCTTCCGCCTGAAATTAGATTATCGCCCAGGTTACTGATATTCAAGTCGAAATTACGCAACCATCTTACACCGGAAAGCATAAAGGCACTGTTAACGGTCTCATTTCCGAACACTCAGATTCTTGACTTCGAGAAGTGTCCTCCTGGGATTTAGTGGTAGATTAAGTGGTAACTCTTAATTATATCATTAGAAATCCCTGTTTTGAATTGGTTTCTAAATCCACTGCTATCACTTCCCCCCCTTGGCGAAAATTTTCGCGGTTTTTGATGTCATCTCCCGCATCCCGACCTCATGCGGTCTGTCGACGCTCACGGCGGAACCCTCAGTCTTCACTGTTTACTAGTAGTTCGGTCGTACCTCCCTTCCTCACTGCTCGGCTGAGCTCGAAGCGTGCTGTGGCCGATCGCATCTCGGTTCCTCTCGTCTGGCCTCTTTGACGCGGCGTACCAATCAGGCCCAGACGATCTCAATTGTGAATCCCGTATACAATGCCATTTGCAAGCCAGTTCTGTCTGACCCACATTCGTACCCATCAAGGCGGACATTTATTGATACCCTTACGATGACCGACAACATTCCGTTATATACAGCCACCTACAGGCCAGTCCTGCTCGCTTTTTTCTGTTATTATTTTTAAACAGGGGTTTTTTTCTCCTGTAAAATTAATCCAATCATTTTTAACTTTTTCTTAGGAGTTTTTTTTCACCCCTCAATCATCATGTTTCTCAATGGACTTCTAATTTAGAAACTACGAATTGCATTTTGTAAAGATTCGGCCTACCTCGTCTAAAACTCGCATGCAAATTTATTTTAACTTGCTTTGATGGGACCCCGACGGGTCTTTAATAAAAACTATCTATCTATCTAAGTCCAAAACACATATAGCGACATTATTCATGAAGAGAATTCTATTAACTATTTTGTACTTCACGCTTAAAGAGTAAACAAATCAGCATGGAATTGCTCTAGGCAATGTTGGCTCGAAGATTTAGTGAATGAATATACACATTTCAGATCATCAGCATAAATAAGGGGTCAAGAATGTTTGATTGTCGACAAGACATGAATAATGCAAAACAGGAACAAAGGAGGACATAAAACAGTTCTTTTTAGTACATGACTTACAATGGGGCTCTCAGTGGAAAATGAAGATCCCACTAACACCTTTTTTACGAGTATAAATGTTATGTATGCAAAACCGAAGGCTAATTGGAAATAGGACGTGTACTGAGTTCGAGAGACAGCACAAGTGAGGAGGCTTGTGGAAACGGTAAGGTAAGGGGTAAGGGGGGACTGTCATAGGCTGATGGGTGGCCATTCAGCACAAAGACGGTGTGAACAGGGGGCCATGACCTTGATCGTTCGCTTGTCACGCGTTTGTGGCATGATGTCCTGACGGCCCGGGCACGATACGCTGCATCCCTCCACCCTAAAGTGGAGAGCATGAGGGGGAGGGGAGGGGAACAGTAAAGGTAATAGTGGATTGTCAGACAATGTTCTAATAAGATTCGTCCTGAAAGCGTTGGACAGGTTTGCGGTTTCGGGTCGATCTTCTCAGGACGGTATTTTCTACCTCTGCGTCGCTTTGTGCAGTCACTGGCTCCTCTGCCCCTAAGCTAGTGCTGGCCGGGGTAGAAGGAGGAGGAGGAGGAGGAGGAGGAGGAGGAGGAGGAACATACGCCTCGGTCGGTGGCGTAGTGCTCTGCGCAGGCAGTAGGTGTTCAGTCCTCAGGATTTCAGGATCCCTATCAAGGGTTGCTGGCAGTTCTAACTCTCCGAATTCTCCACTTACTGTGTCCGTTCGGCTGCGAACTTGGTCCAGATGTCGACGCACAATTCTCCCACCTTCTAACTCTAATTCCACTATTTGACCCTCGCTTTTTCGAACTACCGCTGGACACCAGTTCGTTTCGTGTTCCAGTCGCGTGTAGACACTTTCGTTGGGCGCGACGACTCGTGGTCGGGTGCTTACATCATATCGTTCTTTCATCTTCGTCTGTTTTGCAATGACCCTATCCTGCGTTGATGGATTAAGCAGGTCGAGTCGTGTGCGCAACTGCCGCTTGAACATAAATGCTGCAGGCGAAGCACCAGTTGAGTCGTTTGGTGTTATGCGATAGCTGAACAGAAAGCGTGACAACTTGGTGGCCAAGTCCGCTTCTGTCTGGCTAGTCCGTGCTTTATTGTCTGGACTGCACGCTCTGCGAGGCCATTTGAAGCAGCGTCGTACGGGGCAGTAGTTAAATGTCTAATTCCATTTTTCTCCATGAAATCTTTAAATTCTGCACTAGTAAAGGCCGGGCCATTGTCTGAAACGACCACTTCAGGTATCCCAAAAGTAGAAAAGACGGTTCGCAATTTGTTGATTGTAGTCAGTGAGGAACAAGAATTTCCAGTCGGAATCGCATCAATCCATTTAGTGTGGGCGTCAACTACCACCAAAACCATATGGCCTTGGAATGGCCCAAAATAATCGACGTGTACCCTCTTCCACGGCGAGTCGGGCCAGGCCAAATGCTTCAGAGGAACCTTCGGTAAGGTCTTCTGTGTTATTTGGCACACGTGACATGCTTTCACCACGTTTTCTATATCTGCGTCAATTTTAGGCCACCAAACATAGCTGCGGGCGAGAGCTTTCATTCTACCTGTACCAGGGTGAGCATTATGCAGGTCTCTGAGGATGGCCCGTCGGCCTTGTGGTGGCACAACTACACGATTGCCCCATAGTATGCATCCGTCTTGTAGACTTAACTCGTTCTGACGGCTGAAGAATGGTTGAAAATCAGGGGAGGTAGAGGACGGCCAACCAGATTGTAGGGCTCTTTTTACCCGACTTAGGAGAGGGTCACTCGATGTCCACTGTCGAATCCGTTGACAGGTTACAGGTGCGTTGACTAGATTCTGCAAAAGATTCACGGTCTCGAAAACAGGTGACCCGTTAATGCCATCGTCCACAATAGGAAACCTACGTTTGCACTACCTGTAACGTATTTCATTGCATACGTGTATGCAGAGAGGGTGAGTGCCCATCGTTGCATTCTCGGCGAGGACATCTGTTGTATCCCTCGTTTTTCTCCCAGCAAACCTAAGAGCGATTTGTGATCAGTGTGAATCTCGATGGGTCGGCCAAAAAGATACAGGTGGAAGCGATGTAGGCCAAACATTATTGCTAAGGCCTCTTTGTCTAGTTGCGAATAGTTGGTTTCCGCCTGTGACATGGTTCTTGATGCAAAAGCAATCGGCATCTCCGAACCCGAAGGCATTCGATGCATGAGAACCGCACCTACGCCGTACGGAGACGCATCACATTTCAGTATGATAGGCTTTTCGGGGTCATAGTGAACTAGGACAGATGAGGAGGTAAGAGCCGCCTTTGCCTGTTCGAAAGCACTTTGTTCGACCTCCGACCAGTGCCAGCCACAATTCTTTTCAAGTAGTCGATAAAGAGGCTTGAGAATTGTAGCCGATTGATTCATAAAGCGACTAAAGTGGGTGACCAACCCCAGGAATGGACGCAATTGACTAGTATTGCTGGGGCGCGGCGCCGTCTTCAAGGCGTTGAGCTTATGTTCGAGTGGATGGAGGCCAGTTTTATCCACCCTGAAGCCCAGTTATTCTACCGAATCGGCAAGGAAAGTGCACTTATCTTTCCTGAGTTTAAAACCGGCGTCCTCTAAACGTCCTAACACAATGTTTAGAGTCTCTAGATGACCATGTTCAGATGGGCCGGTAACTAATATATCGTCAAGATATGCGCAAACGTGAGGTATATCCTTCACGAGATTATCAATCAAGCATTGAAATAAACCGGGAGCCGAACTTACTTCAAATGGTAGTCTTTTATATCGAAATAAACCCCGATGCGTATTGATGGTGGTGGCGTCTCGGGATTCAGTATCTAGGACGACTTGGTTGTAGGCATGCTTTAGGTCCAAAGTTGTAAATTGATGACCACCCGAGAGGGATGCGTACAGATCCTCGATGCGCGGGAGAGGATAAGGGTTCAGTTTAGTTGCTGAGTTGATTGTCAGCTTGTAGTCGCCACAGAACCATCGGTTTTAAGAACAGGAACTATTGGGGCTGCCCATTCCGAATATTGCACGGGCTCAATAATATCCGCTTTCTGTAGGCGATCCAGCTCTTCTTCGACCTTCGGTGCGAGTGCATAGGGGACTGTACGAGCTTTGAAGAACCGGGGCCGGAAATCTGACTGAAACTGAAACTTAACAGGTGGACCGCGGTAGTGGGTAGCTGAATCGTCACGAAATAGATCCTTATGATTTACCAAAATTGAATCTAAAGCCGGATTTACACCAATCCGATGTACATAGGATAGCACAGAAGGCACACATTTAATCCAATTTCGTCCAAGGAGATTCGGTTGCTGGCTTCCTCTCACCACATGAACCGGCAAGTAATGAAATTCTCCATCATGTTCGACTTCGGCTGTAAAGACCCCTCGAACGTCTACGTTCTGTCCAGTGTAACTACGGAATGTTGAGCTAGCCGGTAGGAGGGAGGGTAATTTCTGAAGAGAGGCCTCATTGATGAGAGTAACAGCTGAGCCAGTGTCGATTTCAAACTGCCTCATTGATGAGAGTAACAGCTGAGCCAGTGTCGATTTCAAACTTCACGGGATGGTGATCAACCGGAAGCGTGATGGTGTAGGGGGATTGGAGAGTAGCGTTGGCCGAAAACATTCGGAGTATCGCCTCACCATCCCCAGCTGGACTAGGGTAGGTCGCATGCGTGTTACTATTCGCTCGTCTTTTGGAGAAACACACTCGTTCGATGTGGCCGACTTTCTTGCAAAACTGGCATACCGTCTTCTGGTGTCTACAGTCTGACCACCGGATATGATGCTGACCACAACAATAGCAGGATGGTAATTGTTTTGAGGGAGCTGAGGGTCGCTGTCTAGGTGAAGACACAGCAGTGTTGACCAGGGAGACAGCAATTTCCGGTTCCAAGGCTGCTATCACTCCATCGTTTGACTGATTCAGCTGCTGAAGGTTTTGCCGCACGCGCTCCTGATGACTGGCAATATCACAGGCTTTCTCCCATGACAAATCCTTCTTCTCTGATAAGAGATTTTCCCGAGCTTTTTCATCGCGTAGACCGACGATCAACTGCTGAACGAGCATTGCGTGCTCGAAGTTGTCTGCATTGATCTCTTTATACCCACAGTCCTGAATGGCCACAGTCAGATTAGTAATAAAATCACTGACACATTGATTGGATTCTTGACGCATTTGACAAAACCGATAGCGACTGAGAAAGACGTTGTCCTTTCCTCCCCACGCTGACTCGAGTTTTGAGTAGGCTGTTTGGAGATCTATAGCCTTTTGTAGATTGAGGGCATCGAAATATCGTTGTCCCAACTCTCCGAGATTCGTCCGGAGGAGTTTCAACTTAGATGGGACGTCTAGTACAATCGTTGGGGACAAAATCGGGAGTAGTTCAATATAATCCTCAAATGTCTTCCTCCATTGCAACCACGAGTCATTTGAGGACTTCGGGGTGTTCTTTGGCCAGAAAGGTAGCGGTGTAGGCAGCAATGAAGACATGTTCGTTAGACTGCGTCGCAAATGTTATGTATGCAAAACCGAAGGCTAATTGGAAATAGGACGTGTACTGAGTACGATAGACAGCACAAGTGAGGAGGCTTGTGGAAACGGCCGGGTATATGGTAAGGGGGGACTGTCATAGGCTGATGGGTGGCCAATCAGCACAAAGACGGTGTGAACAGGGGGCCATGACCTTGATCGTTCGCTTGTCACGCGTTTGTGGCATGATGTCCTGACGGCCCCGGCAGGATACGCTGCAATACAGGTATGGCTTGATTAAGTTTATAAGAGGACTGTGACAGGTTTCACAAGTGCGACTAGTTAAAACGCCATGTCTGGAAGAGTTAATAACTCAGTTGGCTAAAAAGTCAGTAATTTGCATGGCAATAGCTATTTCAAGGATTTTAGCAAGAGGATATTTTTTATGGACACCTCGATAGTTTTGATCATGAGAACGACAGTCCGACTTAAATATTGTAATAATAATAATAATAGAAGTTTTCCAGTTGTAACCAAAGAAATCATTTTCGAGAAAGACTAAAAAGAGTTTGTTATGCAGAAAAAGAAAATCTCATGTCTGCTTTATAGGAGAATTCGGAATATTTTCCTCACCCCATGAATGCTAGTTAGTTAGCTGGTTTACCAGTTTTTGAATAGTTGCAGGAGAAGAATTAATGGTGTTGAGGGAGGCATCAGACAACAGAGTAAATGAAGTGACTGGGTAAGTTGCACTGACTGTCTGAAATTCAGGAGACCGACTACAGGTTGCATTGGGATTCTGAAATTTCCTTCTTGAGGTCCACGCACGAGAATATCAGTTTTCTCAGCCTAAGCATTATGGTCCTTTGAGAAAACGATGTCCGCCCTTAGCTACATCTCCGGCCAATTGTCAAGGCCATCTTGGCGCATACGGTCTGAACCGCCTGGTTTCGTTCGTCACCAATCCTCCCCAGGATTAATTTCTGCAGTCATTGTTTCACGCCAGTTGTCATAGACAGTCGTGCGGAGACTTGGTACAAAGCCTCCGTGTCTCCTGTGTGATGACATTTCCCAACTCGCCACTGCAAATAATCTCAGGGATATCCCTTTGGACTGCATAAGCCCCAAGGAAGATGGGACGTTAGAAAGTATCTTTTCTCAAACCGCGTCGCTGAACGGTATAAAAACTTGCCCACGTTAATTGCGATTTCTTAATCTGAGGAGGCATTTACACACCGACTTAATAGACATGCTGCAGAAAACAAGCGGTTCATGTAACAGTGGATTATGGCAGTCTAAGTCTTAATTCACTTGACACTGCAATTTCTATCTGTGTTGCTAATTCCTCTGATTTTTATGTGACGAATAAAGAGTTCAAGAGTGTGCGCCTTTTTCCCTCAATGACACTGAACTGAACTAAACCTAGAAACTTTTCGCGTACTGTACCGGCGTTGCGTACTCACTCGCTGGGACGTCTCAGTAGATGCACATTACTCTTCCATCTTCCTCCACCTCTAAGCGTTCTCTTTTTTCGCTTCCAGATATACTTTCTGCAGCGTATCCTGCCCGGGCCGTCAGGACATCATGCCACAAACGCGTGGCAAGCGAACGATCAAGGTCATGACCCCTGTTCAGACCTTCTTTGTGCTGATTGGCCACCCATCGGCCTATGATAGTCTCCCTTGCCATATACCCGGCCGTTTCCCCAAGCCTCCTCACTTGTGCTGTCTCTCGTACTCAGTACACATCCTATTTCCAATTACCCTTCTGTTTTGCATGCATAACATTGGCGACGCAGCCTAACGAATATGTATTCATTGCTGCCTACACCGTTACCTTCCTGGCCAAAGAACACCCAGAGGCACTCAAATGACTCGAGGAAGACATTTGAGAATTATATTGAACCACTCCCGATTTTGCTGCCCACGATTGAAACTCCTCCATACGAATCTCAGAGAGTTGGGACAACGATATTTCGATGCCCTCAATCTACAAAAGGCTATAGATCTCCAAACAGCATTCTCAAAACTCGAATCAGCGTGGGGAGGAAAAGACAACGTTTTTCTCAGTCGCTAACGGTTTTGTCAAATGCCTCAAGAATCCAGTCAATGTGTCAGTGACTTAATTACTAATCTGACTCTGGCCATTAAGGACTGTGGGTATAGTGAGATCAAGGCAGACAACTTCGAGTACGCAATGCTCGTTCAGTAGTTGGTCGTCGGTCTGCGCAATGAAAAAGCTCGGAAAATCTCTTATCAGAGAAGAAGGATTTGTCATGGGAGAAAGCCTGTGATATCGCCAGTAATCAGGAGCGCGTGCGGCAAAACCTTCAGCAGCTGAATCAGTCAACCGATGGAGTGATAGCATCCTTGGAATCTGAAATTGCTGTCTCCCTAGTCAACACTGCTGTGTCTTCACCAAAACAACGACCCTCAGCTCCCTCAAAACAATTACCATCCTGCTATTGTTGTGGTCAGCATCATATCCGGTGGTCAGACTGTAGACATCGAATGTAGTGCACCGAATGCCTTCTGATGCGGAGATGCCGAGTGCCTTTTCATCAAGAACCATGTCACAGACGGAAACCAACTATTCACAACTAGACAAAGATGCTTTGGCAATAATTTTTGGCCTACATCGCTTCCACCTGTATCTTTTTGGCCGACCCTTTGAGATTCACACTGATCACAAACCCCTCTTAGGTCTGCTGGGAGAAAAACGAGGGATACAACAGATGTCCTCGCCGAGAATGCAACGATGGGCACTCACCCTCTCTGCATACACGTATGCAATGAAATACGTTACAGGTAGTGCAAACGTAGTGGCTGACGGCTGGAGTAGGTTTCCTATTGTGGACGATGGCATTAACGGGTCACCTGTTTTCGAGACCATAAAATTTGCAGAACCTAGTCAACGCACCTGTAACCTGTCAACAGATTCGACAGTGGACATCGAGTGACCCTCTCCTAAGTCGGGTAAAAAGAGCCCTACAATCTGGCTGGCCGTCCTCTACCTCCCCTGATTTTCAACCATTCTTCAGCCGTCACAATGAGTTAAGTCTACAAGACGGATGCATACTATGGGGAAATCGTGTAGTTGTGCAACCACAAGGCCGATGGGCCATCCTCAGAGACCTGCATAATGCTCATCCTGGTACAGGTAGAATGAAAGCTCTCGTTCGCAGCTATGTTTGGTGGCCCAAAATTGACGCAGATATAGAAAACGTGGTGAAAGCACGTCACGTGTGCCAAACAACACAGAAGACCTTACCGAAGGTTCCTCTGAAGCATTGGGCCTGGCCCGACTCGCTGTGGAACAGGGTACACGTGTAGCGGCCGAGGACGTCAAGGGTAGCACACACCGAAGAAAGAGAACGCTGAGGGTAGATTCTGGAGGAGATGAATCTGAACAGAGTCGTTAGCATATCTGAATACTCATTCACACGCAGCAGAAGATGGAACGTCAGGGATGGGATACAGTATAGAGTAACAAGACGGCCATGGGGAACACGTATAATGATAATAGTTACTCGTACAGGTGGAGTGAGTTACAGTCATAAAATAACCTGTCTGGATGGAGAGGCGAGGCCAACATGCCAGCTGGAAAACCGGTGGGGAACGCAGCGCTGGGGCAACTGCAGGGAAGGGCCGAGGGGTTGCCGATGTAGCGAGGGAAGCGGTACGAGCGTTACGTCACGATACATAGCGAGGGAAGGGATCGGCGGAGGCGAGAGGAAGGGACACCGGCCATCTTCACCAGCATGCGGCTACGCCATCTCCACACTAGGTCCTCGCGCGGAAAAGTGTCAGGCATTCAAACAATTCTGTTCAAGTTCAGGGGCGTCACACACGTTGATTATTTTGGGCCATTTCAAGGCCATATGGTTTTGGTGGTATTAGATGTATATGTAGATGTATATATTGAAGGGTTACAGGCAGAGCCCTTGATGACCCTATTTATGTGCAGTGCTTTCGCAGACTCATACTCAAAAAAAAAATTAAATTGCAGGAATTTAAAATGTGATTGGGTCACAGTTCAATCGTAATCATAAAGTAGTGCATAGGGTCACCGTAAATTAGTGCGGAAGATAGTATATGACAGATTTTACAAAACTAGTTATGCATAGTCATGCTGTACAAGTCGATTTCTGTCGAAAACTAGACGAGCAAGTTTTCTTTTAAACACACGAACTGTGTCAGCCGTCACCATCTCGCTTGAAAGCGAGTTCCACGGCCTGACAACCCGCTGGCTGAATGAAAATTTTCGTCGGTCTAAACGCGTGCGCTCATTCCCGACTTTGTATGCATGGCCGCGTAGTTGGTTTGTACGGGCGAACTCAAAGAAGTCCTCTGCTCTTAATGAGCAACCCTGGCCGCGAACAATCCGGAACGTCCAGAGTAGACTGCAGTTTATTTGTCTATACGATAGAGGGAATAGGCCAAGGAAATTCAGCCTCTCCTGATAAGACAAATGCTTTAGATCGTCGACCATCTTTGTCGCTCTGCGTTGCACATGTTCGAGTAAGTTGATATCCTTCCTCATCCATGGTGAAGCTGCTGGCATTCCATACTCTAGATAAGGTCTTACAAAGACATTAAAGAGTAAATGGATTGATGCGATTCCGACTGGAAATTCTTGTTCCTCACTGACTACAATCAACAAATTGCGAACCGTCTTTTCTACTTTTGGGATACCTGAAGTGGTCGGTTCAGACAATGGCCCGGCCTTTACTAGTGCAGAATTTAAAGATTTCATGGAGAAAAATGGAATTAGACATTTAACTACTGCCCCGTACGACGCTGCTTCAAATGGCCACGCAGAGCGTGCAGTCCAGACAATAAAGCACGGACTAGCCAGACAGAAGCGGACTTGGCCACCAAGTTGTCACGCTTTCTGTTCAGCTATCGCATAACACCAAACGACTCAACTGGTGCTTCGCCTGCAGCATTTATGTTCAAGCGGCAGTTGCGCACACGACTCGACCTGCTTAATCCATCAACGCAGGATAGGGTCATTGCAAA